ATACTCGCAGTTGAGAAATAGTGAAATTTACGTATTTTGAAACTTTTTATAGTCTTAAAGGTGTGTTAATAAATAAACGTTTCGACTTTGGTTCAATCTTAAATGGCAAATACGAAGAATAAAAGTTTGAATGTGAATTAACTATTTTGGCATTTTCAAAAGATTTACAACGTGTGTATACTAAATGAACATAATTATAGGAAAATGCATAGTGTATTATTTTGGGAGTTTGTAGTTTAAAACTATTTATTTTAATACAATTGCAATATAATGTTATTGGTGACCTGAATCTAGGCTAACACTGGTATAAAAACAAGGATGTGGGGTAATGTTAGTATAGTTGTGCTGTTACTGCTAAACGAGGCCGCGTAAACCTCTTCTCCTTGATGCAACTACAGTGGTGTAGTTGATACATTTAGTACAGATTACATTGCACAATCTATTGTAGACAAATCACTACAGTACAGAGATTACGTCAGTATTTCACAAAAGGCTAAGTATAATCAACATGTAAGTTCAGTGTATGCTTACAGATAACAGGCATGACTGTCGCAACACCTTAGGTTCTAAGTAAACAATATTAAACAGTATTTTTCATCCTACTGTCCGGGAAACAGCCATTTTTGTTTCTCTAAATCGTCCGCAAAATCATCGTTTTTCAGCAACTTCAAATATTATGGAACAGAAAAAAACATTGTGGTAAATTTTTGGTTCGCTTACCTCAAAATCTGTTAATGGAACATTAGAAAACTCTTCTAATCACACGAAATTCCAAATTAAGTTTGAGTGCCATTTGCTTAAACTCTTTGACGAAAGTCATTTTACAGTCTGAGGCTTGGCAGGGCGAGTGCCGGCCAGGTATCAGTGACCAACGTATATCGTTGTCAGTGACCGGTTCCATGGTGCGGAGGGTATGGGGGTGGAAAGATCAACAAGGGGGGGGGGCAAAATTTGTTTAAGGGATAAAATGAAACTGTAATAACCTAAACTAACCTAACCAAACTTGCTGATTATGAAAAAATTGAATAAAGGCTTAGGCCTACTAATCAAATCGATCTTAATTTTCAATAGATATTAGGGTAGCCCAGTTAAGAAACTGTACCTGATCTCCGTTACATAATGCCCACTACACCCCCTTCCACTAATACCCCTCCCCTGAATCACTCTTACGCTGAGTTTAGGAAAGATGGGGACAAGGAAACTTAGGGACACGGAAAGTTAGGGACAAATAGGGCTTTGAGCAGGGAGGAGGGAGAGATTAACTGAACTAGGCTCTGAAACGACTCTTTTAAAACGAATCGTTCTCCTGTTTCAGTTCACAGAGTTCTAAAATAACGGGATTGACTTCAAAATCATAGTTTGAATATAGTATTTGCAAACAGTATACATAAAAGTGTTAAAATTCAGTCAAATCAGGCTCGACCATATAGGTTTGCTAGCTCCTTTTTTACTCATTTTGGATAAGTTAAATATAAATTACAGAAAATATAAAAGTATTCTATGCAATAATATTACTGAATATAAAGTAATGGCACATTATTAAGATATGCTGACATAATTAAGCGTTGCAAGTTTAAAATTCGAATATATTTGTGATACGAATTCGTGAACTATCTTGTTCCCACGAAATCTATCTACTGATTATATCATTGATATACAGTAAATCACATGGTAAATGGAATACAGAATACCTGGAGACTACAACCAAAGATTACATATGCTACGCAATTTTGTATGTACAAATTTTGCGTAGCATATGTAATCTTTGCTACAACTAATTTGTCAGTTTGTAGTTATTTTATAATCACCTTTATCATAACGGATGTCTCGTGTAATTCTTGCGTGGCACATACAAAACTGTCAATAGTCATATATTCACAAACAGTAAATTGGAAAATAAATTAAACAATAGGTGGAATACTTTGTACCTGATGCCTACGAATACATTTTACAACAGGTATTTAATAATTAATCTTTAATCTTTCTCAGTAATAGCTAGTCTCGGGTTGTTCCTGACTTTAACAATAAGGCATATTGTGTTGTCCCTAACCTCTACAAAAGTGAACAAATTTAAGGGGAGATACAACTAGATGTAAATACAACAAATCGAAGTTACAACTAGACCTAGGTACAATTACAATAGAGAACAAGTCGTTTTAAAGAGTCGTTCTCAGAACTGTGTCAGCCTCCGTTTGCCTCCCCTTCGGCTCACAACCCTATTTGTCCCCAAGTTTCTGTGTCCCTAAGTTTCCTTGTCCCCATCTTTCCGGACACCTATTTGACATCTATTTAATTAATCTATTTATTAATCTATTTATTTAATCTATTTAATATCTATTTATTGGGGAGTCAAACGGCACTCGGGCCTATCTGACAGTTTTGACAGTTAATAATCCCCACGGCAAAGAATAGAACGGCACTCGCTCCGTTTACCGTTATGTTTGTAAACAACAGAAATGTAAACATTAATGATGACTTTGTATAACCTCAAATTATGTGGTTAATTTTGTAAAGATTAGAAGGTTATTCCCACATTATGATGAAAATAGTTGTTGATCACACGGAGCGAAATCTCTTTTCCGCCCTACGCCCTCCGCCCTCCACTCTCCGCGCTCCGCGCTACTCATCCGCGTCTAGGAATACCCATCGACGTATAATAACCATCGAAGTATGTTGTGTTATATAGTTCGATGATAATAACTCTGGAATACCTGGCTAATAAAGAACATTCACATAAGTAAAATTCACAAAGAAATACTTCAATGTTTAATTTTAACCAGACATTAGTGAAGTTTTTCAACATAGTGCGCATCATAATTTTAAAATGTTTACATTGTCATATAATTACCCCATCTGCGGTCATCCACACTCGTATACTAGGACATGGCCACGATATTGTGTGTGTCTGACATAACCCTGCACCTTGGCGTCCCAGCTGACTGAAACTTTCTGACAAACTTTATCATTCCTTGTAATGTAGTTTTACGTTCACTTTCATTAAAACTCAGAGAAGAAATCGTAAATCTTTCTGTCTCTTTTATATCGTTCAAACGCGTTAAAACTTGATGTTTTCGTTCAGTACAACGATTAATTGAATTTATCCATACTTGAACCCCCTATAAATCTGTATATTTAAGGTTAACAATCTATATTTAAAATGTAGGTGATGTCTAAAAGAAATAGCGTCAACACAACTATTGTGTTGAATTAAATTTACTTTTTAAGGGTTTAGTTCATAATTAAAAACATGAAAATTAACTACAATTCAAACGGTTACCCCTTTCTCACTGTCTATAATACCTCAAGTGTCACACTATATGAGTGACTGTGACATCCCTCCTCGGAGACTAACACAGCGTTGTAGCCCACGGCACTTTGAGGCTAAAGATACAAGCTGCAACTCCTCTATATCTCTAATGCTGCATGTAGTTGAGTGACACCCCGTATGAGTGACTGTGACATCCCTCCTCGGAGACTAACACAGCGTTGCAGCCCTCGGCACTTTGAGGCTAAAGTTTCAAGCTGTAACTCCTCTATATCTCTAATGCTGCATGTAGTCGAGTGACACCCCGTATGAGTGACTGTGACATCCCTCCTCGGAGACTAACACAGCGTTGCAGCCCTCGGCACTTTGAGGCTAAAGTTACAAGCTGTAACTCCTCTATATCTCTAATGCTGCATGTAGTCGAGTGACACCCCGTATGAGTGACTGTGACATCCCTCCTCGGAGACTAACACAGCGTTGCAGCCCTCGGCACTTTGAGGCTAAAGTTTCAAGCTGTAACTCCTCTATATCTCTAATGCTGCATGTAGTCGAGTGACACCCCGTATGAGTGACTGTGACATCCCTCCTCGGAGACTAACACAGCGTTGCAGCCCTCGGCACTTTGAGGCTAAAGTTACAAGCTGTAACTCCTCTATATCTCTAATGCTGCATGTAGTCGAGTGACACCCCGTATGAGTGACTGTGACATCCCTCCTCGGAGACTAACACAGCGTTGCAGCCCTCGGCACTTTGAGGCTAAAGTTACAAGCTGTAACTCCTCTATATCTCTAATGCTGCATGTAGTCGAGTGACACCCCGTATGAGTGACTGTGACATCCCTCCTCGGAGACTAACACAGCGTTGCAGCCCTCGGCACTTTGAGGCTAAAGTTTCAAGCTGTAACTCCTCTATATCTCTAATGCTGCATGTAGTCGAGTGACACCCCGTATGAGTGACTGTGACATCCCTCCTCGGAGACTAACACAGCGTTGCAGCCCTCGGCACTTTGAGGCTAAAGTTACAATCTGTAACTCCTCTATATCTCTAATGCTGCATGTAGTCGAGTGACACCCCGTATGAGTGACTGTGACATCCCTCCTCGGAGACTAACACAGCGTTGCAGCCCTCGGCACTTTGAGGCTAAAGTTACAAGCTGTAACTCCTCTATATCTCTAATGCTGCATGTAGTCGAGTGACACCCCGTATGAGTGACTGTGACATCCCTCCTCGGAGACTAACACAGCGTTGTAGCCCACGGCACTTTGAGGCTAAAGATACAAGCTGCAACTCCTCTATATCTCTAATGCTGCATGTAGTCGAGTGACACCCCGTATGAGTGACTGTGACATCCCTCCTCGGAGACTAACACAGCGTTGCAGCCCTCGGCACTTTGAGACGAAAGTTACAAGCTGCAAATCCTCTGAATCTCTAATGCTGCATGTAGTCGAGTGTCACACTATTTGATTGTGTCCTATTCAGCTGTTTTCATTTAAACATACTAGCTTTGGTAAATAAATATATACCCATTAGCCATTTTGCATGTCAACTTCAGTATCCTAAATCATAGTTTTCGTTGACCATGTTGAATGAGTGTAAATAGGTAACATGTTTATCGTAATAATAGAATATTGTTACTGTCACACAGTTAATTTACCTAACGACGATTGCCTCAATCACATACAAACGTTTAAGTTTATCCTCATTTTGCTCAACTAATGATAATTTATTTTTTCAGGAGAGTTTTCTTCTGCCCGTACCTTCATTTGGACCTGGTGGTAACATCCAGCGTCCTGTCAGTCCTCTAGTCGAGGACACTGAGGGCGAGGAAGGAGAGGGGGAGACGGGAGGAGGTGGTGGGATTCTCAAGAAGTTCAACACGGGAGTGTCAACCCCCGGAGCTCCCAAGGCGGTCCCGACACAGCCGACTCCGCGGACTACCGCCAACAGCATCCTCAGGAAGTGTTATCCTTCTAGTAGTCCTCAGGCACCCTTCCTTCCCTCGGGACATCTGGAGGACTGCCTCCCTCCCTGCTACCATGGCGCCAAGACTATGGCCAAACTTATCAAGGTAGGTCTTTAAAATCCTGTATTAGGGTAAAATAACACTTAAATAGTATGATTAGGAAAATGCTACAGCACCAAAAGTGTAACGTCTGAAACTATAAACCTATAGTGCAGCAAATTACCTTCGTGACTTTGGAAAAATAACACACCCATTACTATACTGAACAATTAAAGGTTTTTGTTGGTTACGAAAACTGGAAAATCCCCAATTTCATAGGCCTACTAGGAGAAGAGGGAGAATTAAATTTATGGAACTCAGTGGGTACGCGGATCTCGGTTGTCTATAGTCAAATGTTGGTAACTATTTTAGCTTTTGGATAAGTTTCTAAAGTATTTGTGTAGGCCTACTTAACGACTTAAGTACAAGCAGCTCCTCAATGAATGTGCAAGGTAACTAACTACTGGTGATTCTGTAACTGTTTATCTTTATGTGTAATGGGTGGTAATGGTCGGTAATGGGTGATACCTATGTTGTTTATTTATAACAAAACTTATGGAGCCTGTGGTATTGGAGGCCGTAAACTGTTCCTAGACTCGTCAAACTGTAATGTCAAGGTACAGCTCACTTCGGTACAATCGATATCTGTGCTTCCGAGGAAGCTACTGCATGAATCACCTATCCTGCACGCAACAGTCGACAGTCACAGGAACGCTCGGGCTCAACTACACTCACCACATATACTATTTATCGTAATTGTGTTTTGCTCTAAATCATTAAACACGATTTCAGGCTTGACCTTTTTGACAGTTGTTAAAAGCTACCTTCTTAAATAGAAATGTTTAATTTGGAATTGATTGTGTGATAAGCTCTGAGTCGATATTAAGTACCAAAAACACCAACAATAAAACGCAACTAAAACAACAACAGAAAGAAAAATAAAGGTTATGTATACTAGTGTTCGATGACTGGTTTACTTGCTACTAATAGTGTCGTCAAAGTTGCACTGATTTAATAATGTTACAGTATCAATATTTGTTACATTTTTGTAAACACGTGTAGAAATTTCAATGAACTATTGTAAATTGACGCAATGACGTAAACCCGAGGTGGATATCTCCACCTAAATCATCAAAAGAATAGAGTCATGAATCAGGCAAAATCGTACAATTAAAACCAACACCCGTACACTATCACCAAAAATGCGGAATTTCCATGTTTTACCTGGGAACTAAACACACTCAGTTTTTGTCCAATTCTTTCACCTTAAAAAGTTTAAATAATAGGGTACAGTATGGTTAATACAGAATAATATTTCATTAGACGTACTGTACAGTACGTTAAGTATTTAAAAAAATGTTGGGCTATTATACCCAACATTTGTACATATAATGTATGCTTAGAATTCTATATTATGTATTACGTATTGGTAAAAATACACCTTAAGTCAAAGTTATTAAGTGTCTAAAACGTTTACCGTCACAAGTTTTTATATTAGTAAGAAATAGGCTGCTGAACGAGTATTCAATTTTCCTCCCGTAAAATACAGTTTTATTATACGGCATAAAATGTGTTTTTCTCCCTCGTGTTGCCTTGTTCGTTTGATTTGTGTCCAAATATTTGCAATTAAGTTCTCACAGTGGCATTTCGTTGCTTTAAATTGTAGGACCAAATTCGATTTTGAGCTAGTTAACGCTTGTATTTAATTATGAGATTCTGTAATAATTGTAAAGAGTATATTATCATCTCTTTAAAGAATTGAATCGTTTTAAATTCCTGTTGGTTTACTTTAATTTTAAACGATAGTTCTCGATTTATTTTAAAAAAAGACGTTTTACATAACATATTAGCTGCAAGACAAGAACGAATAAATACTATCTTTATCCAAACTGATTGTTCTTTAGCTAATTTGGCAAATGTTTAGACGATCGGCTTAAAACTGCAATACTTCTTGAAGCAGTAACATTTTGAATGCATGAAATATGATTACAATACTTAAGACTTGGTATAAAGGCTTTTATCAAGTTAATTTGTTAATCACGGCTGAGTGAGACAAACAAACTCAAACGGGCCACAAAGTACAATTGAGTTGGTTGCATTGAGTTGGTAAAGTTTAGATTCGCCTTAACTAGACTGAGAGGAAATTATTACTTCGTTTTGTCATTCCTCAGATTGTTAGCTTTACTTTGAATGAATTGTCAAGCTACTTTCTAATCTTTTATCCCAGTGTTTTAAAGCTGAATTAAAATAATTACGGAGTTTAAATATTAAATTGACAGATGTTATTAATATCACACTATTACAGTATTTCCTCCCTTCCAAGTATCAAATTGATAATCAGTTTCCAGTGAATATTGTGTACTCCTCTTATCAACATACAGCTCAGCAGTTAACGGCTTAGCCTCCTCGTTTGAGCCAAGGTGTTGGGTTCACTCGCACTTCGCACTCCAATGCCTTCATTGGCGTGGGGGCTTTGATCAACAGCATGCAGCGTATTTTCCGTTGGATTTCCCTCATTCTGGAGACACTGAACCCTACAGCGCCGCAGATTTCCGATCAATCGATATTTCCAACTCGGCAACACCTCACTCGAGCCACTGGCCACTAAAGAGTTTTTCTCGGACTTTTAACCACTTACTTACGGTTTGTTAGTAGCTTGGGCTCCCTCATTTTAACCATTTCCACCCATCAAACCGAAAGAGTTCATAATTATAGAACGAACCTTTGTGGCCATCAAGTCCATAAATAAATAATGAAAGTAACAACCGCGCCCGCGCAATTCGTCCGAGGCCGCGCGGACATCAGTGTCTAGGTATTGTCGCTGAGGGTTTATGAACCGAAAATACAGTTTACTTTTAACCATAAACTAGACTCTGTCTGATGCACTTAGATGGATAAGCTAGTATGATCATAAGTTTTACTGATATGAAACTTTCTTTTTTCAACTTTCCGCGTCGTTTCAAATATCAATATCCTAGCGTATCCATGCTTCGCAACTGATTGGAATCGCATGAAATGACACACAGGACTTTTCATATCTTGGATGGATTCAAAGACCAACACAACTCATATTGGTTTCATGAATCAGGTTTAAAATATTGTTATGGTTTAATTTTGTTTGAAAATATATCTTTCTTTCCACTACTAAAATTTTACTAGGGGTTGATTTAATTTGGCTGATTAGGATATGTATCGCAAATCTAAAACTAAATAATGCATTTCGTATAAAACCCACCGTCGATGGCATTACTATATGGGAAAATATTTAAATATGTTTTGGAACCATCAAAATCGACCCCTGCTACTGTAAAGCTACTCGACCCAAGTTGTTAGGAAAACAGTAACCGACAGGAATGAGGATATCTCGAAAAAAACATATTGAAATTCATGCTTCTGAAGTTGGTACTCTTTTGAGCAAACCTCTATGCTGTGGTAACCTCTAAGAAGTTACAAGGATTCTTATGCGGCTTTATTTTTCGAATTCTTATTTTTTTTAGAACATTTTTAGCGAATTTCCCATATAGGGAATAAGCTATTACCGTAGTACTCATGGTAAGACCTGGACCCGGGACCGATTTTTTTTTCCGTTTTGAGGTCCCTAGAGGCCAAAAACACCATCCGTTCAAATTCATATATATATATATATATTTATATATATATATTTATATATATATATGTGTCCGTTAGCGCGATAACTCGAGCAAAAATGATCCGATTTTGATTAAATTTGGTACAAACGTGTAAACCTACGTTTATTCGAACGAGTTCGCGAACCAGCATGATCGGACCATGGGAACGGGGGTTTATGGGGGGTTTTATGGGGTAAAAATGGGTTTTTCCCATTTTTGACCCAAAAAACATCAAATTTTGCAATTTCTTTCAAAACTATTTTGTAGAGCTTAAAAAAACAAATAATTTAGTATATTGAAGCGTTATAATGCGCCTAATGGTTGCGGAGAAAATTCCAAAAAATTGCAAATTTAAAATCCCCATGTTATTCTTATGGAGAATAAGTAAACTGTTGTAGTTTGCTTGTTTAATAACATATTTTGCCCAAATTTGGAACATGTTTTTATTTCTTACTAACAATTAACATTTTACATAAAAAAACACCTTTACCCTCCCTGTTGCAGCAAACCTAAGTATGTGTTAAACTGATTCTATTTAAATCTATACTTATTTAATACGCAAGCAGATTTTTTGTGACAATTACTCCTCCTAAACTACTGAACCGATTGTCATGTTTTTGGTGTCATTGGAAAGAACATAACGTGATGTTGTGCAGGAAACTTTCTTTTTAGGGAAATAATTAGAGAGTGAAGCCCTGGAGCCCTTTAAAGTTTCGTATTCCTCCATAAGATTAACATTGGAAACTTGTAGGGATAAATGTGATATTTTTAAGGATACATTTTAGTGTAAATCCAATCAGGCAAATGGAAATTCGCTTAGTCTGCAGGTTTGCTGCGGCGGGGGTATTTTTCTTTTTAATGTGTTATCGTTTACATGAGTCTAGAACAATTAACACTAATAAAAACCTTTGTCAGCACGGAGAGATATTTGTATTTATTAAAATAATACACAGACGTTCGTTTTATCGTATTCAAAATATATATATTTTTAAATATAAACGTGTTTATTCCTTAATAAACACTAAGTTTTTAAAATCGCTGATTTTAACACAGTTCTTTAAAACACAAACCTAAAATATTTTTGAAGAGGTTTTGTCTCGACAAACATACGAGGGATCTCACGATGAACTCGGAGAGTTTGCCAACGCTGCCAGCAGCCTAAGTGCTGTAACTTTGCTGGGGGAATGTAATTTTCAGCGTCAGAACTCGTCCATAGTGATTTCGACAATGTTTTCTCGCCGTGCGACAGTTGTATTCGTCAATACGGGATATTCCTTTTAACCATTTAATCGCAGTTTTTATATTTTCTACTGTGAGTGCATTGTAACTACCAACTATAAATAATTTGAAATTATGGAAAGACCATGACATTAATTCGGTTAAATTAGCAGCGAATCGGTGTATTTGTGTTTAGGATTTATAACTTCCAATCACCGC